TTAGGTCACCGGTACCCTACCCTAGCCTTAAACCTCGGTTAGGGTTTTTTTAGGGTTTTTGTAGGGTTTAGGGTTCCTCAAAACCCCCCTACTTCCCCGTCCTCTTCGGGCACCCTGGACCCGAACCACCCCTCCCCCTTTGATGGCGCCCGTGCTAGCCTTGCTAGCGCCGTTCGCCGCTTTCTACCGCGGACTTCCCCCTATGCCCTCCGCTCACGCGGACCTCTTCTGGCCCCCTCCAGTCCGGTCCGTCATCTCCCCATGGCCGACAGTGCGTCACACGCCGTCGACACGGTGATGACCACGGCATCGGGCTCCACACCCGTGCCGGCGGACCAGGGCCATCAGCCCTAGGGGGATCTACACACCCTCCTCACCTCCCTCCTTGCGCCCATCCAGGCGCAACTCGCGACCCTCGCGCCCATCCAGGCGCAACTCGCGACCCTCGGGCCCTTACAGGCGTAGGTGGCGACCCTTGCCGCCGACGTGCAGCAACTCCAGGACGCTGGTCGTCCTTCCTCTCTTCATCCTCTCTCTTCTCCTGGCTCTCAGTCCGGGTCCCCAGTTCTCCGACAGGGTGGCCACGGCGGAGTTTCCTCCTCTACCGCCCCCGACCCGACCATTTTGGTGACCGTCCACGCCCCTAGGCGCATCCCCTACCTCCTCTACCCTTCCTCCCATGCAGGCTCGCTTTCCGCGCCCTGCACCTTATACAACTCCTTCCTACCTTCTTCCTACTCCCGCGGTTGCTGCGACCTCTTCTACCGCAGCACCCTCGCAGCCTGCCGTTGTTGCCACCGCCACTCCCCCATGCGGCCCGAACGCACAGTCAGTTGCGCCCCTTTCTCCAGGACCTGCGCCGACTTACTCAGCCGTGGCACAGGCCTCCGCTCGTCGATCCCCTCGCCGCCAAAACGGTGGTGCACCACTCATCCGCTTGTCGGACATTGCCTTGTATGACGGTACAGGCATACGCATGTCTCGGTGGCTGCAGTCTGCCACCCGCACACTCCAGCTCATGGGCGCCACACCCGAGACGTGGGTGGGTCACCTCTCCACGCGCCTGCGTGGCGGTCCTTTCGAGGCCTGGGAGGATTTCTATGCCTACTCCCTTCGTGAGGGTCGAACTCTGACCTTCGTGGATTTCCAGGCGTTCCTCGAGGATCGCTTCGGAGCCCGATACGGCGTGACTGACGCCTTCGAGCGTGTCGTCACTACACGCTGGTCCGGCTCTGGTGGCGCTGCCGGCCTGGATCGCCACATCCAGGTCTTTCAGGACGCCCGCCTCGTTTGCGACGTGGCGTTCCTTCCCGAGGCTGCCCTTATCGATGGTTTCTTGGCCAGCCTTCCGCTCGAGTACCGCTCCGAGCTATGGCGGTACGAGTTCACATCGGCCCCACAGGCTTACGAGGCCGCCAGGGACCACCAGCGGATGCGAGCCCGTCTTCACCCCGCCTCCTCCTCCCATCCCCAGCGCACGGGCTATGCCTCCTCCTCCTCTCACGGCACTTCCCAGCGCCGTTCCCCTTTCCGCGGTCACCCTCGCCGTTCCACGCAGCAGGGCCGCCACTTCTCGCGCCGCTTCAGCGCGCTGGAGTATGGTGAGCAGGACGCTGTTGCCCCATTGTCATCTGAGGGCGACCACAGCGACGACCTCGATCTCTGCGAGGCCGTCCACTATCACTTGGAGGACTCTACCCTCCCYSYWGYTGRGCGCCTTCAGCTCGCGCTCTCTGCCCTCTCTCGGGCACGCAGCCGCCCCGGTCACGCTGGCGCATCGCTCCCCGAGGTCCCTCAGGAGGACCTCCCTCAGGGCTTCGTCCCTCCTCGTGGTGTCCTTTCCCCAGAGGAGCGCGCGACTATTCTGGGCCGGCGTGGGTGTTTGCGCTGCCGCTTGGACGGTCGTACCTCCTCGCGGTGCCCTTACACTACCGCCCTCGACTGCCACTACACTGACCTTTCTCGTCAGCGTCGTGCTCAGTCCCCCCCCGGCGCCTCCTAGCCACGGTGCAGTGTACACCTGCGCCCTCCTCAGTAGTGGGCTTCCCGACATCTCCGTCGCGGTTTGCCCCTCTCGCTACTGGAGTTGAGGTATCGCAGGACTCGACAGAGTGTACTCAGCCCTCTGTCGCAGTGCCGTCTGCGCCTACCACAGCCCACCGTCTCCCCCCCTCCCCCGCCGCAACTGCCGACGCGTCGAGCCATTCGCTCAGCCCGTTGTAGCGAGTAGCAAGCGAGGACGTTGTGTCCTCTCTTCGGGACTTGAGCATGCTCCAGGCTCGTCAGGAGCGACTCACCCTCCATGTCGCTGCACTGCGTCGCCTTCTGGCCATCCTCTCTGACCCTGATCGCACCCTCCCGATCATCCCCGTACGACTCGGGACCTCCACGAGGGTGTACTCAGCGCTGTGGGATTCCGGTTCTCAGGGCGACTTCATTCACCCACGCGTGGTGAAGGAAGCCCGCGTACCCACGACAGGGTCTCCGACTCCCATCTCCGTTACCCTAGGGGATGACAAGACCCAGCGCTTCTTCGATCAGACGGTCACCGACCTCCCCTTCTTCCTCACTCTCGAGCCGACTGAGCGTTCCCCGGCGTCTCGTCGCCACCGCTCCTCTGCACATTTCAATGTGATGGAGACGGGGTGCGACTTCATTCTCGGCACTCCGTGGTCTCGTTGGTTCCGCAGCACCGAGGCCGATTGGGCGACCAACACTCTCGTTCTCAAAACGAAGTGTGGACAGACGTATCGCGTACCTTTCATAGGTACCACGGCGACACCACGCCCCGATCCTCCTCCCCCGGAGCCTTCAGTGCCCACACCATCTCCCTCTATCACTGTCACCTCGCCTCGGCAGTTCGCTCACTTCATTCGACAGGACGACGTCACCTTCTTTATGGTGGACG